TTCTTCATTCATACTTACTTACATGTAAGCCTTCTTACGATTAAGGTTGCTTGCTACTACTCATCTCATACTAGCAAATCATCGTTGTTAAAGAAGAGAAAGTATCGAATGTTGGAAGTAACGATAACGGAAACGTTTCGTTCCAAATTGCGTTGTCGTTCTTTGCTCACTCGATCACAATTACTTGCAAAGAACTTCGGCCGAGTTGCAGTGGTTGCTATCGATTTGCTTTCGATATGCTTTAAGAGCGAGCTGGCTGATTCTGATTAAATTTGATTGACATTTTTAAGAGCATAAAGCAGTTAGGGGAATAAATGATTTAGTTGGAGATATATTATGTAATGAAGTTAGATGAATGTCGAAGATGGGAAAGTCTTATTTGATTATTGGATCGAGCCGATGGAGATGCAAGAAAGTGATGTAGAAAATAGGAGGATTGGCATGGTTATGAGAAGGTCGAGGACAAATTACAATTGAAAAGCGCACTGACAATAAGACATTCTCAAAGTTATCGTTGCTACTACTAATGTGACTTTTGATGTGACTCAAAAAACAGGTCAGCAGAATATGTGATTGCTGCGATAAAGGACACATTATAAGCCCAAATTACACAACAATCGTATTCAGATAAAACATCAGAATCAATCGCATGTGAAATACAAAAGAAGGAGAATATTTGAGAGTTTTTACAGTGTCTATTATGTAGTGTGAATGATTTACGCATCGCTGACCCCTGCAAAGGAACCAAACACAAATTATTTCTCAATATGAATACGTATCAATTCAGCACCAGAAATTAATTTTCTGAGGTACATCATGAGTGTTCGGAAAACACGCAAAATTCATGGAGTTGATCCAAATACACGAGTGAAAATCAACTGAGAATATGTCAGATGAGTACGCTAATTTCTGAAATTACCAGCTCCAGTTTTAGTCAACCTGATCATCATCTGAGTTATAATGCATAAAATGTTCAGTCACGTCATTTTTATCAACTACATTTGACACATCAATAATATTCGACATCCTGAAAAACTGAGCCAATCTCAAAAGATTACTTCACTCAGATCAGATTACATCAAGATTACTTCGCTCAGATCAGATTACATCAAGATTACTTCACTCAGATTTATCGTTTCTTTCCAGGATTGTCGTTCGAAACATGCCCATATCTGCACATTTCTCGGCTTTACCGTCATTCTTTCCGTGTTCCGGTTGTGGATTGCTGGCTTCCGACCACCTGAATTCAGTGCCTCTGACAATCCGATTGCACATCATCCATCGTTTTTAGTCCGACTACTAACTTTTCTCTACCTGCCTGTATTTCATTTGCTCCTGATATTATTTCCTTACCAGGTGAGCTTTCGCTGTCACACGTTCGATGATTTGAATTGAACTGTGAAAAGAGTGATGATTTGAACTGTTCTGAATCGGCAAGATTTGTAAGCAATAATCAATGAAGTGCATAAAATCGTTAAAATAAAAATGAATGAAAATTCAATTTTTCTCGAAAATATGTCGAAAATGCAGCTATGAAATGGAATTTATCACTTGTAGTCAGATCTACTGTTCCAATCGTACCTCAT